TCTCCTATTACCCCGAGATGGGACCGTCTGGTTGCAGAAAATCAAGCTCGGTGCTGTGGTGAGTCGTCATTTTCATGCACTTTGAATTTGCGTTGTATCGTATTTTGAAGGCATTAAACATTGCCATAGCGTTGCGGCCAGATTAGACGCTCCTTGTGTTTATTATTATATTTCGAAAACACCACAGTTTTCATGCAGCTCATACCATATTATTTTGTTGTATAATTTCCGCCACACCTTAAATGCCGGTCCCTGAAAAAATTGTCTGACATAAACCGATCCGTGGGGCAAAAAAGGTTGGGGACCCCTGGTTTAAAGTACTCTCATGAGGGGTTTGGTAACAAGAAAATGCTTACAGTATCCCTCTTCTTTATTACAAATTAGAATTTCAATTTTGGTAGCGATTTTAGCAAGCGTCATGAAAGTTGCCATTTTTGATTTGCTTTCGCGGGCCACATCTGGCCCCCGGGGCCTTGAGTTTGACACCTGTGGCTTAAGCGGTCCTTCACTTTTTAAGTCGATGTGACCATCGTGTCAGACGCTAAAGCGGCTGACGAACGCTAACACAACAAGGACGATGGGAGTCGGCAGCGTGGACACGCTAGCTTTAGCTCTTCAGAGCAGGGGTTGCCAGCCTTTCATGGGGCCAGGAGAAAATAGAGGGGGTGCGGGGGGCTGCCGGATTTAAATGATGCATCATCACAATGATATCAGAGTTTTTCCGAAGCTAACGTCGGGAGGCGTAATCGGTATACGATGTTTGTTGCATTGGCCCGTCGCCATTGCTAGGTTTGCGCTTTGTCGCCGATTACGACGTCATGTATCGGAAAGAATTTTGCCGCCGAGACCAGTCGGGAGAACGCCCCGCTTCACTTCCTTCAACGTTCCACGCAGCAGACTCCCCCGAGAGTTTCCATGGTGGTGCCAGATGTTTCCGCCTTTCGAGTACAGCCCCACTTAGACATCGCACACTCTTGTAACGTTCGGCGGCATCGTCGCAGGACGGCGCCCCGCACGCGCAAACATCGGGCCCGCGGGCTCACGGGGACCCAAAGGAAAAAGGTCGGTAGGGCAGTGCATTGCAACGCCTGGTTGTCACGGAGCTCAGATAGAACTTTGTATATTTAGAAATATATTTCCTTAACTTTGGATAAAAAAATAATCTAGTGAGAATAAATAGCAAATTAAGAAAATACTTTGAATGTACTTTTCTGTAAATAATACTACTCTCCCAAGTGAATAATAATATAGAAGTTCAGACAGACATACGGCAAGAGCATATTTCCTTCTGCTTCGCTGAACACAGAGAGAATTTTATCGGCGTGTTAAGGCATCGGGTGGGACCAATTCGACATTCGTCCTCGGGAAATAAATAAACTCATCCAAGATAATTCTGTACTCAGTGTACGTCTCACACTCCTGCTTGTCACGTTTCACAGTAACAGTGTTCACTGACTGAGTTGTTGCTCCATTACGCACGCCGCACACACACGCACACACACACTTCATACCCCAAGCTAACTCCCAACATGCATAAATGGAGGCGTCCTGTAGCCTGTAGACGTGCGTGCGTGTGTCTTTTGTGTGTGTGTGTGCGTTTTCATGAAGCGCTGAGGTTTGCATGCCATCCCTTGGGGCCGCAGAGGTAAAAGGGGTCACGATCACGAGGTCAGTTGACTGCTTCAATCTGGAAGAAACAAGAGAAAAAGCACATTTTACACACAATTCACACAAAAGCATTCAATGAAGAAAGAAAAAAAAAATCAAGACATTTTATACCATCATCTCTTACTTAGGATAGATCCGATTTTTGTTGAAGCAAACATCACGTCCGCTGATGTTACACATGGACATGACAAGTCGCCGTGACCTATCAGTGGTGAGGGAAAACACGCAAAAGGATAGCAAGCGGGGACGAGAAGCTCGGAAAGCAGGTCGGCAACCGTCATAATTACATAATCCGGGATGGATAGCGATGGGGGAAGGGCACGGGGGGGGGGGGGGGGGATCTTGCCGGAACGCTGCGTTGCTATGGCCACCAACCGAGCAGAGAACCACTACCGGAAGGAGAAGGTGGTACCAGATGAAATATTTTTGAATTACGATGTGGAACATAATATCCACCAACTAGGGAAGACGTATTGCAAGTCCACCCCCCACCCCTCCCCCATCCCTTATCATTTACAGAGGTGATGCAAAAATAGAAAGAGATAATGTGGTTGCACAAGTGTACACACCCTCTCATAAGTGAGCGTGGATGTGACCGCTCAGAATGAATCGATCACATTTGGTGTATGGAGGTCAGGACACACTCGACATTTTAAGTGGCTCCGATTATCCATCCGTGTATTTTGTAATCAGGATTCTTCTAACGGGGGTCGCGGGCACGCTGGAGGACACCCTGAACTGGTTGCCAGCCAATCGCGGGGGGGACGTGCATATACAAACAACCACTCGCGCGCACAATCGCACCAAGAGACCATTTAGAGTTGGCGCCGATTAACCCCAAATAAACTCCTAAAAGGATTTGGCTGACATTTTTTCTCGTTTCCTAACCTAAGCCTGCATTAATTTATTATTTTTTTTACGCTGCACTGCTATATGCTATGCTATGTGAATCCGTTCATAATTCTCTCCACCTTGTCTAAGGTCCTGCCGGATTAAAACCTCTCCAGGGCATGACGCCGAGGCCACCTGACGAGCGATGGCGTGTTTGCGCCAAACACTACTTTTGGCCAAAAGCTTCAAACTTGGCTTCATCAGAGCATGACATTTTCTACTTCAAATAAAGTACAACTTAACCGTACTTTCCGCATTAGATTGGATCGTTGAACCGTTCTCGTTGTCCCCATGACAATCGGCACGTTTATCATTCACAACGACGTGACGTTATAAACAAGTTTGTATCCACCAGACGTGCTTTGATTCCATAGTAGGCAGCGGCTGATCTGTCCTGCAGAGGATGTAATCTCATCTGGAGCCGAGGCTGGCACGACGCTGGCCACGCGCTAATCGAGCAGCTAACGCGTCTATCTGGAACATCCCAGCCTACTTTATCCTGCTACGTGCGCGCACACGCGCGCACGCACACACACACACACACACACACACCTATATGCTCAGAGACTGGAAAATGTGACACACTTTGCCTGCTGTGTTACATTACACGCATGGTTGTTTCCTACGGCATCCAGTATCAGGTGACGCGGGCCCGAATGCGTTTGTAACGCGTCTATCTGGAACATCCCAGCCTACTTTATCCTGCTACGTGCGCGCACACGCGCGCACGCACACACACACACACACACACACACACCTATATGCTCAGAGACTGGAAAATGTGACACACTTTGCCTGCTGTGTTACATTACACGCATGGTTGTTTCCTACGGCATCCAGTATCAGGTGACGCGGGCCCGAATGCGTTTGGATACGCATGTGTGCAGCACATGTCGCTGTGAGCACATGTGCATTTTTCGTTTTTGTCAACGTGTAGGCGGGTTGATGGAAACGCAATATAATACAGTCCAAGGTTGATTTCAACCAGAGTCTGGGTCGCTTCCCTTCTTGGTGCCTTTCGGTTGCCACTTAGCTGATCGGTGTGGTTTCAAACGTTTTCTGAAGCGTTTGCATGTGACACAAAGGTCATCAATCTGCATATAAACGCTTACGTGTTTAATCCGAACAACTCCGTGGCCTCGCGGTGTTTGTCTTGTTTTCTTTTCTGAATAAGTTTAGAGCTAAATCAAGGTCAGAGATTTTTTTTTTTTTACCGTTTATGGGAACAAAACATTGGTCTGGAAAAAAATATAATAAAATGTTAATTTAGCTCTGAAGCCTGCTTGGTTTTTATTCACTTGGCTACTTGCCAGGGATTTGTAGCCAGCTGCTCTCAAACTTTTAGTACCACCCCCCAAAAAAATCTTAGCTCTCCAAGTATCATCAAAACACCATCTTAAAATACATAAACTAACAGGGTTTAAGTGTTCATCTAAAACAAGGCAAAGGGTTTATCCCTAAACAAGAAGATATTATTTTATGCCACTGATACAATATGCACAGCTTGAACATTAACCCTACAACTAAACACGAGAAACAAAATCATTGTACAAAAATAGTGATTCCCAGAGGTGGGCATCCCGCCAGTCCGTCACAGACGCTCTCCCGTTTTGCAGAAACTCTCCCTCACTCGTTTATGTTTGTTGGCGGAGGTTTCCTGAAAGAGGACTGCATCGACTACATATGTGTGAGAGTGAGCGCTGTTGTTTTCAATAGGATCTCTGCGGGGGGCAGGGACTGCGATGGATAACCCTGATTGGCTAAAGAGGCGGAAAGGAATGACGTCAATCACTTCACGGATTGGCCAACGGACTGGCGAACCGGTTAAATTTACCGACGGAAACACGGTTAAAATAACGTGACTGTTTTGCTTTGGCTGGGGGGGGGTAACCGTCGGATGACGTCGGATGACGAAAAATGGACCGGCAACATTTTTGTAAAATGCCCACCTTTGATGACTCCATTAAAACGTATTACCCACGAATTGAACAATTGTGCCTCCATCAATGTTTCAAGATAAACAGTTTTGAAAATTTCAATCTGAACTTATTTGACTAAAAAGCTAAATGCAACTGAACTGCACTTAACGCCTATAGAGAAATTGATTCGAAAAATCCAATATATTACATGGGTACATTTATGTACAGTTTAAACATTTAATTCATTAACCCCCCGCCCCTCTACATAACTCGAGAATTACTGTCTGAATATGATTGAGAAAACACCACTTTGTGTGGATTTGTGCATAAATCGCTTATCCCTGCCTAATCTGTACAGCAAAACTTGTTTACATTCTTGTGATCAATTAGAGAAAACTTGTGTGTACACATTCCGGCACACGGATTATTATCACAATTTTTTTTTCCAAACCATCAGCTGAGAGGACCCACTGCAGAAGTAGAGGAACCCTTGGAGCGATTTGCGCTTGTTTCGCTAAGTCTGGTCACAACAAATTGATGTGATTGCTTTGCTGGTGCGTGTGTGAAAAGGTGAAAAAGGAAACTTTGCACCGAGAGCTGGTCTCAGTCCACTTGCAAGCCCGGCGGTAAACTCGGCGCGGCAGACCACTCGAATGTGAACGCAAAACGGACCAGCGTCAAAAGCCATCTCGTCGGGTGAACGGCGTTGAAAGAGAAGGCGGATTTACAAGATGGACACGAATGTTGTTAATCTTCCAGATGAATTCCACAGTGCGGGTGGTCATGCTCTCTTTGGCCTGTAGGCGCACCAGATGGCCTGCCTGTCACGAGCCGAGCGGAGCGCTTCAAAGGCCAGTGTTTAACGTGAGCAGGCCGACGGTTGCGGTATTCGAAGGGAGTACGAAGGTAAAAGCACCGGTGGAGGTGTTTAAGCCCCGCCTCCTGCCCACTGCAATTTTGGCAATCTGCCACGAGCGCATACCATCACGATTCCACAAAATGGACCGCATTCCTTCATGTCAACAATACAGATTGGGACAGTACCCCAAGTCTGTGCGTGGCGTGATGTCATCGATTGGAATTTGAATCATTTGCGTGTGGGAATTCACAACTTTTATGTGTTGGATTAGTTTCGTCTGCGTGTCATGAGTGTAGCGCTGCGGGCTGTCTGAGAGTAAAACCACAATCATGCTTTCATGCGTGGGACAAACGGAGCTTTGAAGAGGGAGTGACGAGCAGATGGCAGTCACATCAACACATGTGGTAACTCCGTTAAGGCCATCGCACTGCGGCGGTCCAACCTTGTTTTTAACCGACCCCGTTGACAACGTTTCCACCGCTATAACGTTCGCATTTCAAAGTCCCGATTTCACGTCATTCATTTGCGCAATTACCGATTCCGCTCACAACAGATGCCCTTCATCGCGGAAATTTAATGATCACGACCAGATTTCTCCCACAAAATAGTGAAAAGGCATTCAAGACGACGAGACGTGGGACGCTAACTGCCGCCGCGACCTGATGACATCTACAGCCCTCTGTTGCTTCGCAACGCTACTAATCGACTCGGTACGTTGTTGTCGTTCCAACTCAGCTAAGTCGAGTCACTTGATTCTGAGCAGAATAGCAGATGCCTTCATCGCGGAAATTTAATGATAACGACCAGATTTTTCCCACAAAATAGTGAAAAGGCCTTCAAGACGACGAGACGTGGGACGCAAACTGCCGCCGCGACCTGATGACATGTACAGCCCTCTGTTGCTTAGCAACGCTACTAATCGACTCGGTACGTTGTTGTAGTTCCAACTCAGCTAAGTCGAGTCACTTGATTCTGAGCCCAATCCAATCGCTTGGCAACACAAACATTACGTTATATTCTTCAATTCCATTCCGTGCCTAATCGTCAGGTTACTCGGCGGAATACTCTATTCCAAAAGTGCCGTATTTTCCACACTAAAAGGCGCACCGGATTATGAGGCACACCTTCATTGAATTTTGTCATTTTTTTCATATATTGGATGCACCGCATTATAAGACGCAATCTACAATGCATCCACTAGATGGAGCTAAGCTCAAGGAAACACCAACAGAACGATCAGATGTCAGTAAAACGTATTTAATAAAGCAGCGACACAGTTCACTGAACCAACAGCAAGTTAGAACATTGACTCGTTGACGTTGAACTCTCTTGCCGCTGCTCGATTTCCGT